CAAAAAAAAAAAAAAAAAATTAAAAACAGAAAAAAAGTAGTACATATTTATTGTAAAATGGTCAAACTACTGAATGCCAGATTGTAAAAGTAAGTCTCCACAGCCGGGCATGGCGGCTTACACCTCAACACTTTTGGAAGCAGAGGCAGATGGATCACGAGGTCAGGAGTTTGAGACCAGCCTGGCCAATATGGTGAAACCCCATCTCTACTAAAAATACAAACATTAGGTGGACTTGGTGACACAGGTCTGTAAGTCTAGTTACTCAGGGGACTAAGGCAGGAAAATCACTTGAACCCAGGAGGCAAAGGCTTGCAGTGAACCAAGATCCCACCACTGCACCCCAGCCTGGGTGATGGAGCAAAACTCCATCTCAAAAAAAAAAAAAGTCTTCACTTTCCTATCCAAGTATGTGCGCACCCCCTCAAATCCCCCTGCCACATGACTTTATATTTTTTCTTAGATGTCTTTTGCACTTACTGTAGGTACAACTTAGTCTTTGCCACCAACTTTTGTGTTCGTTGTCTTTTTTTTTTCCCTCCTTTTTGTGGAGAATAGGGGGTCTTGCTATATTGCACAGGCAGGTCTCGAACTCCTGGGCCCAAGGTATCCTCCCGTCTCTGCCTGCCTAAGAGCTGGGATTACAGGCGTGAGCTATTGTACCTGGCTTTTTGGTGTGTTTTTTTTTTTCCCACTGACTTTTTTGATTTAGAGGAGTTTCAAGGCTGTAGAGAAGTTGAAATAATAACAGTGAGCATCCATGGCACCTTCACCTGTAATTACCACTTAACTTTTTTGACATTCGCTTTACCTCTAAATATGGTTCTTTGGTTTTCCTGAGCCATAGGAAAGTAGGTTGCAGATATGTGGCACTTGACTTCTAAACACCCTAGCATCTATTTCCCGGGAACAAGAATGTTCTCCTGCATAGTTATGTTTGTATTATCATACCCAAGAAAGCTAACACACAATAATGTTTAATTCCATATTCAGTTTTTTCCAGTTGACCATTTGATAACTAGGGCTTTTTTTTTTTTTTCCGTTTATTTATTTTTAATCCAGGGTCCAATTCAGGATTACTGTTAAACTGAGTAGCCTTGTCTTAATCTTCTTTGATCTAGAACAGTACCCCTCCCTCTCAGTTCTTTGTTTTTCCTGTTTTTTGAGACAGGGTCTCACTCTGTTGCCCAGCCTGGAGTGCAGTGGTGAGATCACAGCTCATTGTAGACTCGACCTCCTGGGCTCAAACGATCCTCCCATTTCAGCCTCTCTAAGTAGCCCAGACTACAGGCACATACCACCATGTCTAATTTTTGTAGTTTTTGTAAAGACAGGGTTTCTCCATGTTCATGTTGCCCAGGCTGGTTGTTTGTTTGTTTATTTGTTTTTTGAGACAGGATCTGGCTCTGTTGCCCAGGCTGGCTTACTATAGCCTCGACTTCCCAGGCTCAAGTGATCCTCCTGCCTCAGCCTCCCATGTAGCTGGGACTACAGGCATGTACCACCACACCTGGCTAATTTTAAAATTTTTAGTAGAGAGTAGGTCTCACTGTGTTGCCCAGGCTGGTCTCAAATTCCTAGGCTCAAATGATCCTCCCGCTTCAGCCCCCCAAAGTGCTGAGATTACAAGCATGCACCACCTCACCTGGCCCGTGTTTTACCTGACATTCTTGTCATTAGGACGTTAGGCCAATTATCTTACAAAATGTTCCCCAATCTGATACGTCTGCCTTTTTAATGAATGTACAGCAATCCACTGAGTGGGTGATTGGTGACTTGTTTAATAGTAGCTATTGAGGACAGACATTTATTTTGTCTTTTTTTGTTTTTTGCGCTCTTTAACAATATTATTTTACACACACAGTTGCACACTTGTGCTTGTATCTGTTAACTGGGGTATCTCCTATGCTCCAGTGGGAGTAGGCAGATGCTGCTTCCTTTCACAGGCCTCTGGGAGGAGGTCCTAGTTTGCGATTCGTTTTCTTTTTCTTCTTCTTTTTTTTTTTCTTTATAGAGAAGGGGTTTCACCATTTGGCCAGGCTGGTCTTGAACTCCTGACCTCAGGTGATCCACCCACCTTAGCCTCCCAGAGCGCTAGGATTACAGGTGTGAACCACTGTGCCCAGCCTCTTTTTCTTCTTTTTATTGAGGTAAAGGCCACATAACATACAATTAACCACTTTAAAATGTGCAATTCGGTGACATTTAATGTATTCACAGTGTTGTACAGCCACCCCTCTCTAGTTTTGAAACATTTTCATTGCCCTAGAATAACATCCCTTAACTAATCACGTCCCTCATCCCCATCCACTAGGAATCCTTTATCTGCTTTCTGTCTTTATGGATGTGCCTCTTCTGGACATATCATATAAAAGGAATCATACCATATCTGACCTTACACATTCAATTTTGTGCTCTTGTGCTTGTACAGCTGTGAGAAACTGGATCAAATGGATGCACAGGCCTAGGGCTTCAAGGGTTAATCCAAAAGAAAGGCTTTTTCTTTTTTTAGAGACAGGATTTCACTAAGTTGCCCAATCTGGTCTTGAATTCCTGAGCTCAAGTGATCCTCCTGCCTCCCAAAGCGCTGGGATTACCGGCATGAACCATCACACCCTGCCAAGAAAGGCTTTTTCATTTGAAGCTATCAAAGACTTAATTATAGCTAGAACTTGTTATTCTGTATGGCGAAAAGATCTTAATTATAAATTTACTGACTTTTCCTCTGAGAAATTCGGACTTTAAAAAAAAAAAACCTCAATAAGGCCGAGCGTGGTGGCTCACGCCTGTAATCCCAGCACTTTGGGAGGCCCAGGTGGGTGGATTATTGGCGGTCTGGAGCTGGACACTAGCTTGACCAATGTGGTGAAACCTTGTCTCTACTAAAAATACAAAAATTAGCTAGGCGTCATGGCACATGCCTATAATCTTAGCTTCTTGGGAGGCTAAGGCAGGAGACTCACTTGAACCTGGGAGGCTGAGGTTGTAGTCAGGGGAGATCACTCCACTGTGCCCCAGCTTGGGTGACAAAAGCAAAACTCTACCTCAAAATAAAAAAAACTCAACAAGAAGAACAAGAGGTTTTGAAACACTTTGCCCAAAGACCTAGCTTCATTCAATAGATTAACTAGATTAACCAAAGATAACTTTCTGAAGCAAGAATTATATACATCTATCTTTTTCTGGGCAGAAGATCTCTTTACCAGGTAATATAGCTATTTCTCTGGGGTTCTGGTTTCCAGGGACCTCATGTCTTGGATCAATGGAATACGGGGGTTGGTGTCCTCAGATGAGCTAGCCAAGGATGTCACCGGAGCTGAGGCGTTGCTGGAGCGACACCAGGTGGGTGGTCCTGCCTGCTGAGTAGCAAAGATGTGGTTGCTCTGCTGGGCCCTAGAGGCCTCACTCAAACCCTTTGTGGTGAGTTGGTGGGGGTTGACATCAGAGTGGGCATCTGCTGCCAGTTACCTAATCCCTTCCCTCCTTTTGGCAGGAACACCGGACAGAAATTGATGCCAGGGCTGGCACTTTCCAGGCATTTGAGCAGTTTGGACAGCAGCTGTTGGCTCACGGACACTATGCGAGCCCTGAGATCAAGCAGAAACTTGATATTCTTGACCAGGAGCGTGCAGACCTGGAAAAGGCCTGGGTTCAGCGCAGGATGATGCTAGATCAGTGCCTTGAATTGCAGGTATGTGTGCTCTTGGTTTCTGACCAAATGTTTCCTTGCTGAAGGGCCTCATCTTCTCACCTGCCTCTTGCCCTCTTCAGCTGTTCCATCGGGACTGTGAGCAAGCTGAGAACTGGATGGCTGCCCGGGAGGCCTTCTTGAATACCGAAGACAAAGGAGACTCACTGGACAGCGTAGAGGCTTTGATCAAAAAACATGAAGACTTTGACAAAGCAATTAACGTTCAGGTGAGGCCTCTGTACCATGGGGTCTGAGTCTGGATTTTTCCTGATTGACATCTATTTCTTGGCTTATATAGTCACTGTTGTATCTCCAAAGAATTCCTGCATTGTCTAAGAAAAATATGCACATAAATAATTCTTTAAACCTTTAAATATAAATTCTGGTATTTCCAAGGTTTTAATAATGAGGTACCACAGGAAAAATATATTTTATTATGAAAGGGAGGAAAAACAAATGTGTCAGTAGGTAAGGGAATACATGAACATAAACAACAAGGAAGATGTAAAACTATTTGATTTATAAATCACTTGGCTGTAAGTCTGACAGCATTTTCCTATTATTAAGCTTAATTTTGTGTGTTCTGTTCAGATATTCTAACACCTGCCTCACCTGAGTGACCTGGAGGCTTCTTGAGTTAAACTGTACTCTTAGTAATGACTGAAATCAAGCTTTCTTTTGGCGTTTTACACTCCTGCTTCTAAAGTGTCAGTGTATTCTGATCCTGCCACCAGCTAGTTCTCAGTCACCCAAAATAACTGTCCTTTTCTCAAGACCGGCAGTCTAGGCAGGGCCCAGCCACAGGCCTACCTTGACCTCATGCCTTTCTTTGCCGACAGGAAGAGAAGATTGCCGCTCTGCAGGCCTTTGCTGACCAGCTCATCGCTGCCGGCCACTATGCCAAGGGAGACATTTCTAGCCGGCGCAATGAGGTCTTGGACCGGTGGGTGTCCCGTGGCACTGATGTAGTCACCAGCACTGAGAGAATGCATCCCCTCATATGAAGGCCCAGGCCTGTTCCATCTTCCAGCTTCCTCCTCCACAGTAAGACATGTTCATGTTTGATCTCATGGTTTCACTCGTTCAGGTGGCGACGTCTGAAAGCCCAGATGATTGAGAAAAGGTCAAAGCTAGGAGAATCTCAAACCCTCCAACAGTTCAGCCGGGATGTGGATGAGATTGAGGCTTGGATCAGTGAAAAATTGCAGACAGCGAGTGATGAGTCATATAAGGATCCCACGAACATCCAGGTAAGCTGAAGTGACAGGGTGTTGGTCTTGATGTAGCCCTATGTTATTTGGTAGATTTTGCTAAATAAAGCATCTATAAAACAACCTCCTTGCACCCATGGGAAGTCAGTTAAAAATATTTTAATAAGCTAAGCCAGTGGGAAAGCCCTACTCAAGTTTCAGAGCCGTTTAAAAGTCACCTTCCTCATTTGTCTCTATTGAAACAATTTCCGCAGTAATAAAAGTCTGTAGAATCTCCCTTCTATCACTGTTCCCAAATGCTGAGCTTCCCAGGGGAAGTATGACAAAATGAGTTTCTATTTAATAGCTGATATGTGTGTCCGCATCAGTGTACTGAACTCTTGTTCTTTTAATCTGTTTTTGTAGCTTTCCAAGCTGCTGGTAAGTTTTTAATTTTTTTAAGAGTTGTAGTTAAATGAGCTCCAGTATTTGTGTTCTGCGTAGATTATTTGTTATTGTGGTCACGCAGTCTGCTGGTGTCTCTTCATCCATCCTTTTCATTTCTAATCATCCATTATACTCCATTCAAGTGTCCCTGTGGGATGTGGCTTTCTCTGTTGTAATTAGCCTGCAATGTCTTACTCCCTCCTTTCTCCCCCAGTTTATCACTTAGGCAAATTCTGTACAGTGTTTGATTTGCGGGGCAGTAGTTGACCACTTTCTTTCAAGGAGTGCTTCCTTTTGAAGATGGAACATCAGCTTCAGCTTTTTCTGTGTAGACATTAGCTCAGACTTGCTGTGAACTCACGGTATCTAGTGACTACGGTCAGGGAGGCCAGTCTGGTGTGAGGGTTTTGATGCATACCCAGTCTGGCATCCAGAGGTGCCAGTCAGGAGAGCAACAGCTAGAGAACTATAGAGAGACAGATGATCTGTTAATACCTCCAAATCTTCAAGAAACACAAATGAGAAGTTAAGATAAAAGCAGACATCACTCAACAGGTAGTGAAAGGGGACTTCCCAGTCAACATGTAGCTCAAAGTTGCTTAAGTGGGTGGAAGAAATGAAGATAGAGAAGATAGTAAATGGGATTTGAACTAAAAAGTGATCAGAACAAGGAACAGAATTCTAGGAGGGGAATGGGACTTCTGTCAGGATAAAAGGGTATTTGAGACCCTTTTTGTTGTTGCCTTTGGGGTTAGGCAGTGGGAGAATGTAACAAGCACATTTCATGTTAGTGATGAATTGAGCCAACTAGATGGCTCCATCCTTTGACAGTTGCTGCCTCTGAAATGAAACATTTGATGCAGAATTCCCCAACTCTACTGCCTTTTAGTTGTTTTTTTCCCCCTAAATAACAATCTCCCCTGAGACCCTGCATTTCTCACCCAGCCAATTGTTTTTCCCAGAATTGTGGCACAGATGCTATGTCCTTGCAGTTGTGTCTTGTAGCATTTCACTACCTTCTGTTTCTTTATGGATTCATAAAAACCATATCAGGCCCCCAGGATCAGGAGCTCATCCTTCTCCTAGCCCTTTCTTTTCCCAGCAAAATGAATTCTTTCCTGCAGTCAAGCCTGGGTTCTGACAGTATCCCACTGTTTTGATTAATGACAGCTACCAAATGATAAATCAACAAACAAAGACGATGTCTGTAGTAGCTGTAGATTTCTCCTTTGTCAACAGAGGGACAAGACTGACCATCAAATATTATTTTGCTGGTTACTACAATTTATGTTATGAATTTTGCTAAATGGTGATTTCTGCCTTAGATGATGAAATGTCCATATGTATCTCATTCATTAGAGCCTGTCTCCAATAAGGAGAAAGCCATGGATGGAAATTGATGTACAAGTAGATTCAAAACTGAAGTTGTCTATTTCCATCTTCTGGAAAGTGTTAGAAAGTGTAGAATTCTAGGGCTTCACTCTTAAACAGCTAGCATAGCTACTTTAAAAAATGATTTTTGGCCAGGCTTGCTGGCTCATGCTTATAATCTCAGAACTTTGGGAGGCTAAGGCAGTTTGACTGCTTGAGCTCAGGAGTTCAAGACCAGCCTGGGCAACATGGCAAAACCTCATCTCTACCAAAAAAAAAAAAAAAATTAGCCGGGTGTGGTGGCCCCAATGGTTCCAGCTATTCAGGAGGCTGAGGTAGGAGGATTGCTTGAGCCCAAGAGATTGAGTCTGCAGTGAGCTGAGATTGCACTACTGCACTCCAGCCTGGGCGACAGAGCAAGACCCTGTCTCAAAAAAAAGGACTTCCAGTTTATCTACTCCTGAGCTAGTAAATTTTTCTCCTTTGCTCATTCCCCAAGAGATTAACCCTAAAATATTTCATATAAATTCCAATTGCCTTCTGTAAAAAAACGTTGGCATTTGCCCCAGTTCTTTATGTTTGCTACCACTCCCTCCCTCTGAGAACCCCTTCCTCCTGAAAAGACATAACTTAGCAGGAACTGGTCTGGAAAAATTGTTTTTGGTATTTTTAGAGCAAGCACCAGAAGCACCAAGCTTTTGAAGCAGAGCTGCATGCCAATGCTGACCGGATCCGCGGGGTTATTGACATGGGCAACTCCCTCATTGAACGTGGAGCCTGTGCTGGAAGTGAGGATGCTGTCAAGGTATGGCCCACCAGCTCCCGGTGCCCTGGGAAGAACAGCAACGTCACTCTTAACCTGAAAGAATAACTTGGACGTATAGTCTTAAGAAACTAAATGGATTAGAAGACTTTGGCCTGAGTTACAGATGGGGAATGCTAGTGAGAATGGCTCCTAAGAGTGTTTTCCATTCTCCTCTCTTAGAAGTTCTCAAATTGAGCTTTAGGAGAGGGAGCGTTCTTCATATATTTCACCTTCTTTTTGGCTCCCTTCTGTTCCCCAGGCCCGCCTGGCTGCCTTAGCTGACCAGTGGCAGTTCCTGGTGCAGAAGTCAGCTGAAAAGAGCCAGAAACTGAAAGAAGCCAACAAGCAGCAGAACTTCAACACAGGGATCAAGGACTTTGACTTCTGGCTGTCTGAGGTAACACTGAGTGGTTTGTCTTCCAACCAGTGGGGGATTTCTAGTCATTTGGTACAGTGGGTCCATCAGTGAGCCCAAAACCATGAAAAGGCAGGGCTCACCAGACACCCCTTTTGATAGAAATCTTTATTATCACATGAGTTGCATGCTGTAAGGGCAAAGAGAGTGAATGTTTACAGAAGAGAGCTAACTTGTAGTGGGACTTGGACCACAGATCACTCATGTCCGTAGAGAATGCAAATAGGAAGGGATCATGGGGCTATATGGCAGGCAGCTCTAATAAACCTATGCCAGGATAGAAACCAAGATAGTAGCTTCTCGGAAGCCAGAGTCAGTCATGTATTCTTCATGGAGAATGTTTGGAAAGCACAGACTATAAAAACATAGAGGTTTTGGCTGGGTGCAGTGGCTCACACCTGTAATCCCAGCACTTTGGGAGGCTGTGTGGGCGGATCACGAGGTCAAGAGATCTGAGACCATCCTGGTGAAATCATATCTCTACGAAAAATACAAAAATTAGCTGGGTGTGGTAGTACACTGCTGTAGTCCCAGGCACTTGGGAGGCTGAGGCAGGAGAATTGCTTGAACCCAGAAGGCAGAGGTTGCAGTGAGCTGAGATCGCACCACTGCACTACAGCCTGGGAAACAGAGAGAGACTTTCTCTCAAAAAAAAAGAGGTTTTTAGAGACCATCACTTTTATTACAGTATTTCTTTCCAGTCTATACGTATTTTTATGAATATGTGTATTGAGAATGTTATGTCACTACAAATTCTTCCTAAACATGCTGTACACAGTGGCTTACACCTGTAATCCTAACACTTTGTGAGGTCAAGTTGAGAGGATTGCTTGAGCTCAGGAGTTCACCACCAACCTGGGCAGCATAATGAGATCTTGTTTCTACTAAAACTTAAAAGAAAAATTTAGTTGGGCCTGGTGACGCATACCTGCAGTCCTAGCTACTCAGGAGGCTCAGGTGGGAAGATCACTTGAGCCCAGGAGGTCAAGGCTACAGTGAGCCGTGTTTGTGCCATTGCACTCCAGCCTGAGAGACAAAGCAAGACCCTGTCTCAAAAAAAAAAAAAAATAAAAAAAAAAAAAAAAAAAAAAAAAAAAAAAAAAATTTGAATAATTGCATAAGTTTATCATGGAACCATGCCATAATTTAACCATTCCCATATTGTTGAACATTCAGGTGTTCCCAGCCTTTTGGTGTATATATTTTGCTGCAGTGAACATCCTTGAATATTAATCTTTGCCCACACTGTCAATTTTTTCCTAGGGGAGATTCCTTGAACTAGGATTGCTGTGCATTTTGCCTTTAGCTGTTGTATTTACTGTGAATAGACTCTGGAGTCTAGGTTTGACTGACCAAATGGAGAGAATGTCTCAGGCCGGGCAGGCTGATCAAGCTGAGTGGGAATAATAGTAACACATTGTGATGGAGAAGTATTCAGCTTTCCAAACAAGGACCTGGAATAACCACTGGGCATTCTGAATTTTCCAGAATGCTGAGTATACAACACACAGTAGCATTTCCTTTTTGTGTTTTCACTGCCAGGTCGAGGCCCTGCTGGCATCTGAAGATTATGGCAAAGACTTGGCTTCTGTGAACAACCTGCTGAAAAAACATCAACTGCTGGAAGCAGATATATCTGCCCATGAGGTGAGCAAAGGGAGGCAGCCCAGGCCCGGGTGCCTGGGACTCAGCTGTGCCTGATTTCTAAGGAAAACAAGTATGTTTGAGAAAAGAGAGTGACGTCTGTTCACTTAAAGCAGCCATTCTCAAAGGTTATGGTCTCAGACCATTATATACTTTACAATTATTGAAGGCCCTTAAGAGATTTTCATTAGGACAAAAATTTAAAAATAGATTTTGATTATGTAGGTTTTATCTATCAGTATTCCTTATTATTAAAAATTATAAGGCCAGGCATGGTGGCTAACGCCTGGAATCCCAGCACTTTGGGAGGCCAAGGTGGGCAGATCACCTGATGTTGGGAATTCGAAACCAGCCTGACCAACATGGAGAAACCCCATCTCTACTAAAAATACAAAAAATTAGCCGATGTGGGAGTGCATGCTTGTAAGCTACTCAGGAAGCTGAGGCAGGAAAATCACTTGAACCTAGGAGGTGGAGGTTGCAGTGAGCTGAGATTGCACCATTGTACTCCAACCTGGGCAACAAGAGCGAAACTTTGTCTCAAACAAACAAAAAAAAATTAATTAAATTTTAAGTCCAGATGTAGTGGCTCATGCCTGTAATTTCAGTACTTTAGGAGGCCCAGGCAGGCGGATCACCTGAGGTCAGGAGTTCGAGACCACCCTGGCCAACATGGCGAAACCCTGCCTCTACTAAAAATACAAAAGTCAGCTGGTCATGGTGGCAGGCATCTGTAATACTAGCTACTCAGGAGGCTGAGGCAGGAGAATTGCTTGAACTCAGGAGTTGGAGGTTGCAGTAAGCTGAGATCG